ACCAGCTCTGTTCCGCACTGCAGAATGTTTAGATTTTGGAAATCTTGCATATACACAGTGAGGTATCTTGGAGATGGGGTCCACATCTAAACACAAAATTCCATTATGTCCCATACACACCTTATATACAGAGCCTGAAGGCAATTTTATACTCAGCATTTTATATAATCTTGTACATGAACAATCAGAATTCTAAAAATGCCCCTATTTCACTGTCTCGTGTGAACAATTTTGGGGTACAAAAGATATTCAACCTATATTATGAACCATGCAAATTAATATATACAGATTTCAACAGGATCTCACTAACTTGTTTGCTACATCACATTCCCCCCTGAATATAAGATTTCTGTTAACCATTAGTAACGTCTTTGGAGTAAACTCAAAAGGAAAAATCAGCAGCAATGTGTTAGGAGGAAGCATTATTTTGAAACAACAATTTTGCCATATAATAATAAATAATATAATGGTTGAACTGTTGCATTAGGTTCAAGTGCAACACCATAACCTGGTGAAGAACCATGAAAACTAAGGCACCTTCCACACCGCCCCTATATCCGAGGATCTGATGCCAGATTATCTTCTTATCCCAGAATATCTGGAAGTGAGGACTCATATAATCCAGTTTATATCAGATAATATGGGATCAGATCCCAGGATATAGGGCAGTGAAAGGGCCTGAGTGACCTTCAGCTATTTATTATCTCTCCGTATGATCTACATCACAGGGTTGTTTGTGGAGGATAAAATGGGAAAGAGAAAAGCCAGGTTTCATGTTCTGAGCTCATTCAAAAAGAAAAAAAAACCCTGAGTGAATCTGGCATTCTGGATTCTTCTATTACTCAGAAGTATTTTGAAAGATTATTTCTTAAACATGTTTAACAAAACATCAGAATTAATTATGATCTGTGTTCTAAATTAGTATTTATTTCTATAACTCCAAGTGACAATGTCAAACACTTAAGAATCAACACCGAAGTAATCTGCGCTGAAGAAATCAAACAGTTCTGTGGTATGACGGAATTATAATGTTTAGATTTAAATTGAATGATAGGAAATCTATCAGGTTGCCATAAAATTATAATATCCCCTCTAGAAAGAAATACAAAAGCAAGTCAAATGTTAAGTCATTATCCAGTTCTGGTTTTCTGCTTATGCTCTGAAGCTACAGATCTTCCTGTAGCTAAACTTCTTTCATAACAACAACAACAACATCTTTATTTATACCCCGCCACCATCTCCCTGAGGGGACTCGGAGCGGCTTACATGAGGCCAAGCCCGACAACACATCAATAAAACAAAAGGCAATAAGCAAATAAAACAATACAATTAGTATAAATCACATATAAACAATAACATGCAAGGATTAAAAAACCTATGGCTGGGCCAAATGTAATAGTTTAAAATTTAAAAAAATAAACGCTGGGCATGAACAGAGATAGGATGTATCTGGTAAGAGGTTTTAAAAGAAATAAAGGGGAGCAACCCAACGAGTAGTTAAAGTGCTTCACAGAATATTCTAACTAAACCATGCCCCCCATACACACATTTATAAGTCTAGAAATTTTAGTCAAACAGTCAACCTCAAAAATCTTGATCCAAGTTGAATATTGTACGTTAACTCTTATCAAAAAAGGAACACAGAAATGCTGGACCACTCTAACAACCACCATATCAGACTAGACAGAGAAGCCATTGAAATCCACAAGCATGTGGACAATGTCAACAGAGAGGAGGAAACCATGAAAATGAACAAAATCTGGCTACCAGTATTAAAAAAAACCCTCTAAAATCAGGACAATAAATAAAAAAGTAACACTCAAAAAAGGAGGCATTCCAGACAGGAAACAATCAGGGCCAACTAACATCTCTCAACAAAAAAAATTCCCCAGGCAGGAAGCAGGCAGGCTTTGAAGTTACCAGGCTATTCAATGCTAATCAAGGTGGCCAATTCCAACATTCACATTTGCCTCAAGCAGACAAAGAGTTCTTTCTCCCACACTGGATATTCCACAGATATATAAACCCCACTTGCCTAGTTTCCAACAGACCTCATAACCACTCAGGATGCCTGCCATAGATGTGGGTGAAACATCAGGAGAGAATGCTTCTGAAACATGGTGATACAGCCTGGAAAACTCACAATAACCCAAAAAAGGAACTACCAAGAACTTCGTCCATCCCCAGACAATTTAAAAGAAGCACTAGCCCCTACTCCTCTTCATTTTGGTGCTATTCTGGCCTTTTTAAATGTCTGATCAGGAAAATGGCAGCAATGGCCAGATGTGGCTGCTCCTCTGAAGTGGCATGGTTGCTTTCCCCCTCCACAGAATTATGACCAACTTATCTATCTCCGATCCTGTCCTCATCTTATATATGAGGTTGACTTATCCATTGAGTATGTATGGTATATTCAGCTTAGAATACCTACAGAAAACACATTTTTCCCAAAGTAAGTTGACATTGCCATATTTTTATGAAACAACTTTCAAGATGTACAGATATCAAAAGTAAATTGAAAGGGAACATTACCGAAATCAGGCAGAAGCCATACCTACACAAAGAATGAGTCAATCTGAACCCAGTTTCAAATTTCCATTCATCCCACCTTAGTCAAACCACTAGGGATACATTAATGCTATTTTTGCTTTCTGCATGTAAGTTTCACTGTTGAGTTCCAATTTTTGCTATGATTGGCCAGAATATCTCTATTGACAAAATACAGTCAATGCAAACACAAATTTCAATGTAGAAAAACACCTCAAACCATGATTCTAAAATCACTATCTGATTTTCTATTTAGAATTATTGTGAAAACAGGCAAAATGATAGAATGTTGAGGAAAGCAATGCAGACTGTACAGAGATGCCAATGAAATCCACAAGAATGGGGACAATTTCAATAGAAAGGAGGAAACCATGAAAATGTATGGCTACCAGTATTTAAAAAATTAGAAAATCAGAACAGTAAACAAAGAACAACACTCAGAAAACAAGGTAATTTCAGACAAGAAACAATCAGGGCCAGCTAACACCTCCCAACAAAGGATTCCCCAGGCAGGAAGCAGCTAAGCTTTGAAGCTGCAAGGCGATTCAATGCTAATCAAGGTTGCTAATTGCAACATTCACACTTGCCTCAAACAGACATGAGTTCTTTCTCCCACCCTTGACATTCCACAGAACTTACAACCTCTGAGGATGCCTGCCCTAGATGTGGGCGAAGCATCAGGAGAGAATGCTTCTGGAACATGGCCATACAGTTTGAAAAACTCACAGCAACCTAGTGATTCCAGCTATGAAAGCCTTTGACAACACAATACGGATATATGCAGCAATCATTTATCTCAAATATCAAAAACACTGAGTTTTAAAATACAGGAAACAAACACACTGCAGACTATGAAGCACGCACTTCATTTAGGAATTAAACAGAGATTGAAAAGCAAAAAGAAGCTATAATCACTAGTCAATGGTCTGGGTTTTCCATCACAAAGCTGTGGCACAGACACAGGATTCTGTAGTATTCAACTAACAAGCTTTATGAAGGCTGTGTTAAACCTACACTGCTTAATGACTATAAATCTCTTGATCTGACATTTGGCTGGAACAGAATAATTGAACTCTGATACTTCTGAAAGAGTCTGATCTTCATTAGAGTGAAATATATATATCAGAAATGATCTTCATTCACAGATAATTCTTTCTAGAATTCAATTGTTAGTTGAACAAATTATTAATCCTAAATTTGCAATCTCAACCTACACCAACAATTTGCTATTGCTGCTGTTAGAACTTAGTGCATAAATAAGAAACAACCACCCATGCAAACCACGCTTATAATAAGTTACTCACAGCATGAAACAGACAATAGGGTCAATTATAATGATCCCCAACACAATGCTTCGCAAGCCTTTAAAACACCAAACTGCATTAGGTTGTAATTACCTATCTATGGCAAATGAGAAAGGGACCTACCTAGAAATCACTTAACAGTAGTGGCAGTAATATTCAATACCCAACCATAATGAACATCAGATATAATATAGCACATATTACTTCTGGCCTAGACAATACAGAACATTCCTTGAACTTCTCTACATATGTACCTCATTGGAGCGGGCTAACAATAAAGGCATTGTGTTGTCTGAAGGCTTTCATGGCTGGAATCACTGGTTTGCTGTGGTTTTCAAAGCTGTATGTCCATGTTCCAGAAGCATTCTCTCCAGACATTTCACCCACATCTATGGCAGGCATCCTTATAGGTTGTGAGGTGTGTTGCAAACTAGGCAAGTGGGGTTTATATATCTGTGGAAAGTCCAGGGTGGGAGAAAGAACTCTTGTCTGCTTGAGGCAAGTGTGAATGTTGCAACTGGCCACCTTGATTAGCATTCAAAGCCTGGCTGCTTCCTACCATGAATTCCAGACATGAATCAATCAGGGCCAGCTAACACCTCCCAACAAAGGATTCCCCCAGGCAGGAGGAGCCAGGCTTTGAAGATGCAAGGTCATTCAGTGCTAACAAATGTGGCCAATAACAACAAGAACAACTTTATTTTTGGATCCCTCCTCCATCTTCCCCTCACATATTTATACATGGTCCTCACCATGTCTCCTCTCAGCCTTCTCTTCTGTAGCCTAAACATGCCCAGTTCCTTAAGCCGTTCCTCATAGGGCTTGTTCTCCAGAACCTTGATCATTTTAGTCACCCCCTTCTGGATTCATTCCAGCTTAGAGTCAACATCTCCCTTCAATTGCAATGCCCAGAACTAGACACAGTGCGATTCCAGGTGTAATCTGACCAAGGCTGAATAGAGGGGTTGCATGACTTCCTTGGATCTAGACACTATAGATTGGTTTTTCATATCCATGGACCCCATATCCACGGAGTCCCGGAAACAACCTCAGTGGATACCGATGGCCCACCAATTTGTTATTTGTTTACCATCCCTAACAACATTGTCCTATAAAGACTGCACGCATTCCTTCCGGCGAATCCCATACCTGCCAAGTTCCTCTCCGATCTCATAGTGATCATCCAGGTTCTCTTGCCTGAAGACAGTCATGATAGCTGCCACTCCTCAGGATAGAAATACAATCCTCGGTCCTTGCTTTTCAACTCATCCTCACTGCGTTTCGGGAAGGATTTCCCAGCACTTCAGGCAGAGCTGCAAAAAGAAGAGACAGGCAGAAGGTGAATTTAAATGCCACTGTTTGCAAGAGGGGCGTGGTGGTGTCACTATGTCTAGCACACACACACACAGCCCAAACGTCAAAACAGACCCACAATGCCGGATGTTAATGGATTCCCTTTGAGGCTGAGTGGCAAATCAATGGGCTGCTAAACTTCACTCTAGGATAGTGTTTCTCAACCTGGGGGTCACAAGGGGGTGTCAGAGGGGTCACCAAAGACCATCAGAAAACACAGTATTTTCTGTTGGTCATGGCAGTTCTGTGTGGAAAATTTGGCTCAATTCTATTATTGGTGGGGTTCAGAATGCGCTTTGATTGTAGGTGAACTATAAATCCCAGCAATGACAACTCCCAAATGCCAAGGCCTTTCCCCCTCAAACTTCGCCAGAGTTCACATTTGGGAGTATTGTGTATTTGTGCCAAAATTGGTCCAGATCCATCATTGTGTAAGTCCACAGAGCTCTCGGGATATAGGTGAACTACAACTCCAAAACTCAAGGTCAATGCCCACCAAACCCTTCCAGGATTTTCTATTGCTCATGGGAGTTCTGTGTGCCAAGTTTGGCTCAATTCCATCATTGATGGAATTCAGAATGCTCTTTGATTGCAGGCAAACTATAAATCCCAGCAACTACAACTCCCAAATGACACCACCAAACCCTTCCAGTATTTTCTGTTGATCATGGGAGTTCTGCGTGCAAAGTTTGGTTCAATTCCATCGTTGGTGGAGTTCAGAATGCTTTTTGATCGTAGGTGAACTATAAAACCCAGCAACTACAACTCCCAAATGACGAAATCAATCCCCCACCCAAGCCCACCAGTATTCAAATTTGGGCGTATTGGGTATTTGTGCCAAATTTGGTCCAGTGAATGAAAATGCATCCTGCACATCAGATCTTTACATGACGATTCATAACAGTAGCAAAATGACAGTGATGAAGTAGCAACGAAAATAATGTTATGGTTGGGATGTCACCACAACATGAGGAACATTATGAAGGGGTCGAGGCACTGAGAAGCACTGCTCTAGGGCCAGGCTGCTCATTTGGGCGGCGTAAAAGGGAAAGGCTCTGTGTGTGTGTGTGTCCCCTCCTCAAAAGCCGGGCTCTGGATTGGAAAGCCCACCAGCTGGAAAGGGAGAAGGAGAAGGACTCGGGGCCTGTCCAAGAACAACGGGAGGCGAAAAGGCCCTCCTCAATTCCAAGGGGAGCTCTCATTCTCTCCCTCTCTTTCTCCTCCGCCGTGAATGGCCTCACCTTTCCCGGCGCCTCCATAGCTTCCCCCGTTTGCAGGAAGGCACATTCCTCCGCGGCTCCCCCTCCGTTTCCCGGCCAACTCGGACGTGCGACCAGGAGGAGCCGCCGCTGCTCCTCCCGCCCTTGCCACCCCGAGGAAAGCAGCGGGGAAAAGAACAAACCCGGCTCGCCTCTCGGCTCAGGGAACGGCGGCGAGAGAAAGAGCAGGCATCCTCGGCCAACCTGAGGCGTGCGTAAAAGGAGGAGGGGGGGGGAGGCTCCTTCCTCCTCCCTCTTCGCCTCCGCAAGGCCCTCCCCTCCCCTCCCCTGGCGGAAAAGGGGGAGACTGGCGCCCGGCTAAGCCCCCCGAAAGAGGGGGAAGGGAGAGGAGCCCTCTTTCCCCCACCCAGCCCTTGGCGAAGGCGGTGGTGCTGCAAGGGGCGGAGAGGGAGTCGCCTTGCGCGCAGCCCCGCTTGGCCCTCCTTCCTCGCTTTGGGGCGGCCCCAGGAGCGGCAGGGGAGGGGAAGAAACCCGCCCCTTCTCTCCGCCCCCTTCCCTCCCCCTTCCTGCCTCCCTTCCAGGGACCGGAGCTCGCCCCAATCCCCACCGTTTCCCCTGTTTTGGTCGCCACTCACCGGTCTCAGCTCCCTCTCCAAGCGCCCTTTGCGCTCCAGAACTGAGCAATTGAGAGGAGGAGGAGGAGGAGGAGGAGGAGGAGGAGGAAGAGGACCCCGGGCCCGCGGCCAATAGGGAAGCAGCCGCCTTCTCAGTCCTCCTCCTCCTTCTCCCCCTGACCTGCCCACGACAGGAGGGGAGGAGGGAGGGGACAAGGCCAGAGTTGGGCYCGGTGCGCACGCATTCTCACGCCCCGCCGTGCCACAGGTTGGCTGGCACCGAGCGCCTTGCTCCCCTCCCACTGGCACCGGAGGAGAGGCGGCCAGGATGGATGCCTGCCGCCCGTCTCGGGTTGCCGTGACGGACAGACCCCAGGGCTCCGGGGCTCTAGTGCCACGCAGCAAGGCCCCTGGAGGCGAGCCTTGCCTTGGCAGAAGAAGCAAAGTTGGTATGGCCGTGTTGGAAACAAGCTCTGGGGATGGAGACACTGCAGAATTGGGTCGCTGTCAGTTTTCCGGGCTGTCTGGACATGCTCCAGAAGCATTCTCTCCTGACGTTTCGCCCACATCTATGGCAGGCACCCTCAGAGGTTGTGAGATCTGTTGGAAACTTGGCGAGTGAGGTTTATATATCCGCGGAATGTCCAGCGTGGGAGAAAGAACTCTTGTCTGCTTGAGGCAAGTGTGAATGTTGCAATTGGCCACCTTCATTAGCATTCAATAGACTTGCAGCTTCGAGGTCTGGTTGCTTCCTGCCTGGGTGCTTTCTCCAGGGTGGAAGAAAGAACTCTTTGTGTTGTAGGTTTTTTCAGGCTATATGGCCATGTTCTAGAGGCATTTTCTCCTGATGTTTTGCCTGCATCTATGGCAAGCATCCTCAGAGGTAGTGAGGTCTGTTGGAACTAGAAAAAAGGGTTTATATGTCTGTGGAATGACCAGGGTGGGACAAAGGACTCTTGTCTGTTGGAGCTAGGTGTGAATGTTTCAACTGACCACCTTGATTAGCATTTGATGGCCTGGCACTGCCTGGAGCAATCTTTTGTTGAAAGAACTCCTGTCTGCTTGAGGCAAGTGTGAATGTTGCAACTGGCCATCTTCATTAGCATTGAATGACCTCGCAAATTCAAAGCCTGGCTGCTTCCTACCATGAATTCCAGTCATGAATCAATCAGGGCCAGCTAACACCTCCCAACAAAGGATTCCCCCAGGCAGGAAGGAGCCAGGCTTTGAAGGTGCAAAGTCATTCAATGCTAACAAAGGTGGCCAATAACAACAACAACTTTATTTTTGTATCCCTCCTCCATCTCCCCGAAGGGACTCAGGGTGGCTTACATTCACACTTGCCTCAAGCAGACAAGAGTTCTTTCTCGCATGCTGGTCATTCCACAGATATATAAACCCCATTTGCCTAGTTTCCAACAGATCTCACAACCTTTGAGGATGCCTGCCATAGATGTGGCCAAAACATCAGGAGAGAATGCTTCTGGAACATGACCATACAACCCGGAAAACTCACAGCAACTCAATAAAGTCATTAAATCCTACAGATTTTCTTCCCATGTCTCTTCTCTCTCCAAAAACATCACTGGAATCTTTGCCAACCTATCTCCATTCTATACAGTTGCCCCTCTATATCCTCGCAAATGGCCTTGCAAATTCAAAGCCTGGCTGCTTACTACCTTGGATTCCAGACATGAATCAATCAAGGCCAGCTAACACCTCCTTACAGCTGAGGCCGATAAGGAAAAGGAAAGGCCCTAAAGTTGTTAGGAATGGTGGGAGTTGAAGTTCAAAACACCTGGAGGGCCCAAGTTTGCCCAAGCCTGGTGTAGAGGTGCCCTGGACCATGCTTGAACCAAACTTGGGCTATTCCCTTTCTTGTTGGCCTTCAAATTGTTTCCATCCTAAAGTGATTATGGAAAACCTATCTCAGGGTTCTTGGGAATATTTGTTCAAATGGAGTTTGTCATTGCTTTCCTCTAAGGTTAAGATAGTGTGACATCTCTAAGTTCACACAGTGGGTTTCATCAACAAAATCAAGAGTGCAGTTACATTGGAATTCATGCAGTTTGTGATCACTTGAACTGCTATGACTCAAGTGCTCTGGAATCATGGAAACTATAGTCTTATAAGGTCTTTGGTTTTCGCTGCCAAAGAGTGTTGGTGACGTCCCAAACTACACTCTCAGAATCAGTAATGTGTTGAGACATGGCAGTTCAAGTGGTATCAAACTATATTCAGTCTACAGTGGAGGGTTGCAGACCAATGCTGAAACAGCTGACATTTCTGTATCATGTTTCTTATTATACAACAAAATGCAATTTATTGATGCTCTCTGACTAGTAAGAAAGGGGAGCTTTTCCACATATGAGCTGCCACATTAAGAGAAATATAGCTTCCAATTACTTCCAATGACAGCAGGTGTAACATGGATATGTTTGTTGACTTTCAACTTGTGGCATGCCCTTGAGTTTTATAAGGTTTTCTAAGCCAAGGAATACTCAGATGTGCTTTTATTCATTTATTTACAGCATTTGTAGCCCGTATTTCTCAGCCTTACAGAGACTCAAGGCAGTTTACAAAATTGGCAAAATTTGATGCCATACATTCATAAAAATACAGTTAAAAACATTCAACCTAATATTATAAAAAACATATAAACCATTAAAAACACATAATTACCAGTGCCATCCTGTTAAATCATCCAGAAGCATCATCTAGCAATTCCATGTTCATTCTTCATATTTCATAATTATTTATTCTGCTGCATTTCCAAACACTTGTTGAAAAAGCCAAGGTTTTACTCTTTTCCTGAAGGTCAGGAGGGATGGGGCTGATCAAATATCCCTAGGAGTTTTGTCATTTGGGAGTTGTAGTTGCTGGGATTCATAGTTAGCCTATGTACAGTCAAAGAGTATTCTGAACTCCACCAATGATGGAATTGAAGCAAGTTTGGCACACATAACTCCCAAATACCAACAGAAAATACTGCAAGGGTTTGGTGGGCATTGACCTTGAGTTTTGGAGTTGTAGTTCACCTACATCCAGAGAGCACTGTGGACTCAAACAATGATGATCTGGACCAAACTTGGCACAAATACTCAATATGCCCAAATGTGAACACTGGTGGACCTTGACATTTGGGAGTTGTAGTTGTTGGGATGTATAGTTCACCTACAATCAAAGAGCATTCTGAACCCCACAAATGATAGAATTGGGCCAAACTTCCCACACAGAACCCTCCTCATAACCAACAGAAAATACTGTGTTTTCTGATGGTCTTTGGTGACCCCTCTGACACCCCTTGCAACCCCCCAGGGGTCCTGACTCCCAGGTTGAGAAACGATGTTCTGAAAGAAGCACCAATCCTCTACCCTCTCTGTTGTGCTGCTTCTGGCTTATTAGAATAGCTCGGTTAGAAAACAACAGCAGTGGTGGCTGTTATATGACCCATGGGGACTCCCCACGGGTCATATAAAAATCCATAATTTTGGCCCCACAACCTGCTCTCTACTTTTATGTGTAGTCAACATATGCAATAATAAATGTTATTATCATTATTGTTATTTGTTTGTTTATTACCCACCTCTCCCCATAGATCCTTCATAATACAGTACAATCCCAAACCTATATAACCTGTGCTTATATAGGTTCTGTGGATATGGGATTATGATGGAAGGGACGAATGTTTGTTTTGATTTGCACACTTGCCCATCTCACAGCTCAATACATAACATGTTTTAAAAGGTTTTAAAAAAACAATTTAAATGTAGGTTTATTTCTAACCCCCTCAGAGTGACTCCAACTAACTCCTATAAAGCTTCTGAAATGTGCTCAGGTTCCAGCTTTCAAGAATCTCCAAGGAAACAGCTCTTACCCACATACTTTGACTTGCTGAACCAGCTCAAATGTTACACTGATAGGACTGTGCCATAGGCTGATTTGGAACACCAATGGCTGGCATAAAGAATAATAAACTTGTTCCCAAGTTTGGAAAACATTTTGGTTCAGGGGAAAAAAGCACTTTGCATTTCCTCCTCAAAACAGACACTGTGGCATGAAGCTGGCGATGATCAATCACTATTGGCAGGTAGGTTAATAATAAGGAAACTCCATTTTCTATCTTCATATTATAAGGGACTCATCAAAATAAAGAATATTAATTTGGTTTTAATGAATCCCCGTAAGAGTACAGTGAAACTGATAAGTCTTGTAGCACCTTACAGTCCAATGATTCGGTTTGAGATATTTCGTGAATGGCAATGAGGTTCTTAAGGATAAGAATATAAGGAAATGGTGTACTTTTGAAACTTTTAGTCAAAGTGTGTGTGTGTGTTTTATCTTAAGGAAAACAGTCCCACCATACTGAGCCTGTTTCATATTGATGGTATTGAAATATAAATTGCCAAAACAAAGCAAAGATAACTGCCTAGAATTAAATGTAGCTTGCAGTACCAGCTGGCTTATATAACAAGCTGAAACTATTGGTATGACTCAGGAGTGAGGAAGGGAAACCAAACTGAAGCATTTTGGGAAACAGATATATTTCTAATTAAGCAGAAATGTTGCAACATTTGTTATATTTAATATTTTATTACCAAGATCAAAAAAAATCAAATCAACTTTTTTTCTCTATTTGTTAACTGTCAAGTACATGGTACATTTTATATTATGATCTTACAATATTACTAAATGTTTTTCCCCATCCAGATCTAACTTGGCATTTGTGTTTGAAACAGTATTACAGACTATACACAGCCCCAAGGGAACACACAACCCAGAGCCGACAAGATGCTTTTAACTTCGTTGTGAACTCTGTTCTCTCATCAGAAGAATATATCATCAAAGGTGAACAGAAGTTCAGAAATCACACGTGTTCATAGTGTTCTTTTACCAAAAGGAACCTCAGCAGTGTTCCATCTGCTCTATATTCTGATTTAACTGAACTAATTTGGGCAAGAAGGTTCCAGATATTGTATGGTGGCTGACAAAAAAAGAGACATTTAGGGCTTTTATCGTTTTAAAAAATTGAATTCAAAAAAGAAAAAAAATGAAAAGGAACAGAAACAATACCAGGAAAACAGTTTTAATAATATATTAAACTAAACTTACACCAACTAAGACAAACCTACACTTATAAACACATTCTACAGATATAACTACTAGAACTAATCTACAAGCCTCACACTCATTGTTTGTTGATTTTTACTTCTTATTTTCTGCTCCCTTTAGATAGCACTATATATACACACTTCTCCTTTTGATAACACTCCTCTAAATCAAAAAACCAATAATTAAAGTTTGTTCCCATCTTTGGTGTAAAAAATAACAAATAAGCCTCAGCTTTTCTTAAAGTTAGTCAAAGATTTCTCCTTGATCAGCACTATCAGTTTGTCCATCTTAGCTAATTCAGAAATCTTCACAAATAGAACTTTTATCCATAATTAGTTTTTATCTCATGCTGCAGGATCACAGGATGTCTATGTCCCACACCACTGGAAACATTACACTGTTTAGCTGGTATCGCAACACCTAACATCCGCTGGGAAGTAGTAGCCAGCAATGAAAGGACCAAGGCATTGACATCTTCGGGCCAGTCTCTGTTCGGATATCAGACAGCATGCCAACCCCTTAAATCAAGAAACAGCTTCCTAAGATCTACAGAGATACTTGCAGGAACACCTCAGCATGCAAGAGACCAAAAGTGGCAGGCAAAAACCCAGCACCTCAATCAGTGGCTGAGACTGGATGAGAAACTCTCTCCTGGGCACACAGCAGAGTGGACAACTTGGAAGGTGCTAAACAGGCTGCACTCTGGCATCACAAGATGCAGAATGAACCTTAAGAAATGGGGCTATGGAGTGGAGCCCATGACATGTGAATGTGGAGAAGAGCAAACCATACATAAACCACCTATTACAATGCAATCTGAGCCCTGCCACAGGCACAATAGAGGACCTTCTCTTAGTGACACCAAGGGCACTCCAAGTGGCCAGCTTCTGGTCAAAGAATATTATTTAGTATAATGCCAAGTTGTTAAACTTTGTTTGTGTTTTTAAATGCATTTTAATTGTATCCTCAACTTACTTCTGACATGACAAATAAAAATAATTAAATCTTAAGCCAAACAATATGAGATACAGGCCTTTGATATTAGATGTTGCATCTCACTAATCAGAGGCCCTTCACCCAAATCACCCCTTCATGATCTGGCAGTGGGATGGAGGAGTAATTTGGGTGAAAGGCCTCTGGTTAGTCAGATGCAACACCAAGCTCCTAACCTCCAGCTTTCCTCCATCCCAGCAAAGAATGTAATGTATTGTTGAATGCTTTCATGGCTGGAATCACTAGGTTGTTGTAGGTTTTTCAGGCTGTATGGCCATATTCAAGAAGCATTCTCTCCTGACGTTTTGCCTGCATCTGTGGCAGGCATCCTCAGAGGTTGTAAGGCGAGGTTGTGGGCAAAACATCAGGAGAGAATGCTTCTCAAACATGGCCATACAGCCTGAAAAACCTACAACAACCCAAAGAATGTAATGTATATTGATAGAGGTCTGGGTTGCCTATTAGATGTAATAGGCTCTGGCAGTTTTACTTGTGACCTTGTTCTTCATCTCAGCCTTAATTGCCACCGGATCTGTGTTGTGTATTATGGAGATAAAGCTGGATAAAGTTGAAATAATTCAGTCTCTGATTACTACACCCAGAAACTTGCTCTGTTATTCATCCTGGGAGTTGGTTTTTCTATATAAACCAGACATCTGGTGATTTACTGACTGGTGATACTGGTACATGGAGATTCTGATGGTAGATCTATTCATTTGAGGTTCCTATGGTAGTTTGTTCTACACCTTTGAGGTTGTTATGGACAGTGCCCAGTTCATAATGGGTATTCAGGTAAGCTTCTGGAAATTCCAAGCTGGACATTACTAGAAAATTTTGTGTTGGGAAGGCCATGCAAAGGAAAAGGCCCAAGCCATTTAAAGGTTATGAAGGCAGTGAAACACACAGCCAATAAGCAACTTTAGTGCAAATACAGTATAAGGGACTGCCAGTCAATGTCTGTTAATGGGTGACCAATGCAGCCTTCGCTACCTGAAGTTTCCATTCAGCTTTTAAAGGTAGTCTCTTGTGACATAGTTACAACAATGTAATCTGGAGGCCTCTGTAAATACGTAAGACAGTGGCGATGACTTTCTATTTCCAACAAAGATATTGCATTACACACAACAATGTTGTTATAAGAGAAAAGGTGAAAAAGTCCAGTGAATTCTCTGAAGAGACATTTTTGCATTTTCTTGGAAAAGATGTTTCTTGCTTAGACAACTAATTGCATAGCAGACTAGGGAGCATATACTCACCCTTAAAGTAGAAGGAAGTGAGAGCAATAGTTACAAGATAACAGCAAATTCTCTTTCAAAAGCTAAGCTAACTAGGCATGAATTCAGTTGACAGCCTCACAAAATTCTGTATAGAATCCTATTATTTGCCAGCAGTTTCTAATTGTTATTGGGCAAAGAAGACAAGCTATAATAATTTTCTGGCAAGGATACGTTCACCAGTAAAATTCAACATGTTCTTGTACCACCATTTTCAGGGGCAGGTGTATTTTTATGATATGACATTCTAATTAATAGTAAATTGTTATTTGTCTTTAAATAAATAGTAGATAGTGTTTTATGAAGCTGATAGCTAAAGCGGTAAAACTGAACTGTACTCGTAATACTTTGAGAGTTCAGTGTGTTTTTTTTCCATTTGAAGGTTTGTTATTTTACCATGGGAGGCATGAGAGGCTAAAAAGAAACGTATTTGTTTTCTTTTAAGTGTATTAATACTGTACGATACTGCTGCTGTGCCATAACAATAAATAATTACCTTAGCACAAGGACTGCATGCTGTTAGCACCCACAGTACATTGCAGGGACATTAGTGTTCACATCTCAGAGATATCTTTTATGTTTTAGATGTAAATAATACATCTTACTTCATTGGCCCAATTCATAGAATGCCTTTTCACTTCCTTAAGTGCTTCCAGCCATTTCCACATGCATTCTCTCAAACAAATAAACATTATACATAAGTTATGGGATCTTGTTTACTGCCAGCTTCAACCTTCATGAACTTGGAGGCTGGGGAATGTGTGGAAAAAATGTTTTAATTGGCTTGAAAGCCAACGCAATCTTGGAGCAAAGCACAGGTTAGTTTAACATTAACTGCTTAATGATGTTCAGTGACATTTAATCTGTGCCACAGCTGCATGCAGTGCATATCTGAGCTACCAAATGCAAAGAGCAGTTGGGTGTGATAGTAATTGCTGGTCTTCCTCTGACATCCGCAGGGCTTTTGAGGATGAAGCAGTACTAGATTGCCTCTTTCCACATGGCTGCTTTCTTCTCATGCACAAAAATAATATGACCATATAGTTAAGTTGCTATACTATACTGAAGGACAAAAGTAGCACAAAAAGTGCAGCACATGACAAAGTTGTATCACAAAGATGTGTATAGAGAAGCTAAAAGGCTTACCATGCTTGGTCTCCAGCACATTGAAAAATATGGAGATAAGATAACATTCTGTTTCATAACAAGGTATAGTTCCATGCGTGCCCAAGGGTTCTTTTAGTCCCAAATGGAGATAGACATCACAGCTATAGTATAAGCTTTATTGGTGGTAAATGATGCAGCAGATAGTATGTAGCAGAGAAACAGTCTTGTCTTTTCACAGATGGGGTCCAACATCCCATGGAAGCCAATGGAAGAATTGGGCACCTACATTAATGCCATCTGCTCTCCCTGGTCAACTCCTGGATTGAGTAGTTGTACGTTTTTGAGGCTGTATGGCCATGTTCCAGAAGCATTCTGGAATATGTTCTAGAAGCATTCTGGAATATGTTCCAGAAGCCTTCTGGAACATGGACATACTGCCCAAAAACTTACACCAACTCAGTGATTCCAACCATGAAAGCCTTCGACAATAAACTCCTGGATTGGTTTGAATTGATGGGCTTTTAGTGTGGTGGCATTCACCCTTCAAAATGTCCTGTCTCTTATGGTACATTACATCACTTGATTTTGGAGAATAAGTAGGGGCAGAACTTGTTAATGCTTGGACAGAGAACTATCAGGTTATACAAGGGAGGGCTAGTAAAACTCCTGCCTAACACCCTGGACAGCTGCTACTAGTCAGAACATTGATAATGCTGGGCTAGATGGACCAGTCCATATGGGCGGCTGAGATAGTAAACCCTTGTTTTCTGATAATACACAAACTTTATTTCAAACACAAAAATATTAGTTAAATATATTGCATATAATATTACCTTTAGGCTATGTATATAAGGTGAATATGAAACATATAATGATTTTCATCTTTAGTCTTGGATTTATCACCTACATATCTCATTAAATATATAGGTCCAAATACAGGTATTCCAAATGAAAAAAAATCCAAAATCCCAAACATTTCTCATCCTAAGTATTTTGTGTAAGGGATACTTATCCTTTATTATACACCAACTCCATATGTTGTTACTGGAAATACACAAACACACACACTTGGGTTTCATCCAAGCCATTGCCTAATACCGTATTACTGTGTTTAACTGTAGTGTTCCTTGGATTTGGTTAAATGAGAAGCAGAAGAATAAGGATAAAAGGAAATGAATAAATAGAGCTCTACAGAAGAATAATGTACAGCAGGGATGGGAAATACACACCCCTTCTGATGTTGGACTGCTATACCCACTGGATATGCTGGGTAGTGCTCCTGGGGTTTGTAATCTAACAACATCTGTCAAAACAGATGATTCCCGCTAGATATACTAAGCGGTTTCATATTTAGGTTTATTTCAAAATAATACCCTCAGATTCAATGGTACTTACTCCCTGGTAAGTAGGGGGTGAGAAGGGCGGGGTAAAAGTGACGGAAATTAATAAATAAATAAATAAATAAAATTATTTTGCCTAGGAAGGAATAACTTGCATGCATTCCCCAGTGAGTGAGCGATGTTAATGTTTTGTAACCATCTTCTATTCCCAACTGCACAAGAGTTGTGTTTGATTCATTACAATCACTTTTATTAATTACAGGGAATTCAATCTGGCTGAAAGCATTTTTGTTTCCTGGCATAGTCCACAGAAATAAAGGCCCCATTATTCCAACTAGACAAATGATTTACAGTCCTCTTTGGTATCATTTATGCACAATTTACACTCATTTTTACATACAAATAACAGGCAAACATACACATATGCTTTAGCTTTCCATTATAACAACTGCTTTTGTGAATTGGTTGTTAGCCATCATGGTAACACAGTTTTATTGTCTTTGGCTTTTACTATTATAATGTTTAGCCTTTTTGATGGTGGAGTAAGACAATATTGATTCCTTATGTTTTTATCAAGATGATAACATTCCTTTGGTTACCATCCATTTACAGCAAACCTACACATGACAAAGATGAAGGGATTGCAAGCCCTCACAACATCTGACAGAGTTTACTTTGTGATTCCTAAATGTGTATACCATTACCTACTCATTTTGGGACTTGGGGAACTCCATATCATGTTATCAAAACCTAAGCTAAAAACAGTTTGAGAGAAAGGGGAAGTCTGTGTGAAACTGCCAGAAATTTCCCTCTATGGTGAACCTTGTGAAAAGTATTATACATATAGACAATAAAAAGGGCATCAGCTTTCTTCCTATTTGCCATGTCTTTTCTTCTTCACTTGTCAAAGTGAGTATTTATGGCCTATGAACTGAGTCTTCCAGGACCACAGATATATTGTTTCCTTCTGAATAAGAAAACACTTTGTTTACCAAAGGATAGACAGTGTCATGCAATTTCCTCGTTTTATAACCTGACTAAAGAGCTATCTTAATTCCCCTGGAATTGTTCATATTTTCAGGTACTTGTTCCTGTTAAAAATCTTTTATTCCATCTTGACATTTGTGGAAATGCTGGATGTGTCAGTTAACCATCGGAGAGAAGAATCACATTCTGAGAAATATGCAGGTAAATGAATTGTTATGGGATTGCAATTTTTCAAAATTATCTTTCCATTCCAGTTTCAAATGCTAAAAGATTCTGGATTTCTGGTAGCATTTTCATTCATGATTCTAAAGTTGTGTCCACGTTGCACATTTATAGAAGATGGATAGCACTTTAATTGTCAGAGCTCTGTCATAGGGAACTTTGAGATTTATCTTAGATAAATCTAAACAGTTCCACCAATAAACAGATCCCAGGATTCCATGGGATGGAACACTGACAGTGAAAGGGGCATCACACTGCTTTCATTCTGCAGTGTGGATATACCTCCATGATTTGTTGCACTGTTGCTATCAGTATTGATGTCCAGAGGCAATATCAATTAGTATGGTAGAAGTAATATTTCAGTAGGAATGGAGATGGTCACAAAATGGCACAGGTAATATGTGGAGGTGGTCATCTCTGGATCTGAAAAGGAAGCAGGGAGTCCTACTACAATTTCAGCTGGAAATTCCATAGTATTATAGGTTCCTCAAGACATCTGAAGGAGGCAAGGGAGTCTTTTGGAGTCTTATTGCTATGAACCCAAATCTTACATTCACTCTGCATATAAGCTTGAGCAGATTTTTATTATTATTCATGTTATTTTGTGCCTTCATTTTATTATTTTAGCAACTCAAAGGAGAACTTAT